ATCTGACCATAGGTGATAGCGAATCCTCGCTACTGATTGTTACATAATTAGTACAAAAGTGTACTTGTAACTCAAAACCTACCCATCTATTTCATGATCTTTGATCAGGACATCGAGAGTCGCGTCACGAGTATCCTTTAATTTGGGAGTTTCTGAAGTGGCTAGACGAGATGCTGCTGGACTCTTGCTACGAACCCTACGACCTAATTTGGCAAAAAAGTTCCCTGCAAGGATAAATTAGAAGAAACGAAGATCGAAGCTGGGCTTTAGAACTGGATTCCTTACCAACTGGTGACCCTTTCGGCCTTCTCTCCTCGACAGGCATCTCAAATCCGCAGGCCTCACCGGCGATCTGCGAAAAGTCGTTGCGACTGAAGTTGTGATGAAGTAATTGCATATGGATCATTGAGCCAATACTAATGAACGATATTCAATAGCTGATACTATTAAGAACAAAAAAACGCACATCACTTCTTAGAATTCAATAATCTTCGCTTTAGAACGATCATAACGGAAGAACAACGCGTTATAAGCGACAATAAAAAGATACGCCGTCAATGTGTAAGTGCTTATTGCACCAGAAACAATAAAATTATTATGAATTCAAAAACTAATAATAAAACTAGAAAACTTAAAACAAATAAACTGCAGAACCTGCACAGATTGAAGCGATCACCTCGTTCTAGAAGCGAATAAAAGTAAAATCAAACTACCTGCAATGTGCAACAATACATATTACGTTAAGAGCAGAGCATTCATTATATGAAACGGTGAAGATCCTCATACTTCAAATCTGTTTAGAAACACGAAATGGTATTTCAAATGTACCCAGAGATAAGCAGATGCGTGCAGTAGAAAGACGGCGCCGCAAAAAAAATCACGAATTAAGTGTAACCCAGCGGAAATGTGTAGGATGAATAACGTAACGGAACAGAAAGAAGATTCAAGATGGAAGCTCTCTTACAGAAACAGAAATGTGAGTTTAGGGTAAAACACAAATGTCAACATATCTGCTGGGTTAATCGGACACCTCGTCCGACGACGTCGCCTTTTCCTGCGTATCATTTTGTGGGGAAACGGAATCTTGAGGGGATCCAGTACTTTGTGGAGAGTCAGCATTTTGCGGCGATTCGGGGGTCCTCGACTCCACGCCGCTGCCACTGTTCGCTGCTGCTTGGCGCGCCTACAAAGAGTGAAATCACGTTCTGCATCTAATAGACTAGTGACTAAGATATACTGAGCTTAGAATGACAACCATAAGTCGAACCTTCCATTCGGCTCTAAGTCGTGCTTCTTCAGCTAATGCTTCTTGTTCGATTTCTCCTCCTAATAGCGAAGGTTCTTTAATATGTCTGGCGAGCGGTTTCGACATGCTAAATGGCTCTTCGTAAATAATAATGAATAATACAAGAGAAGAATAAAGAAGAGAATGATATAAGTAATTTGTGATGACCAAGAAAGCCATTTTGCCAACAGAATGAAGATATGGTTGTCTGAGATATGACGTTTGACTTAAGACTAAGAAAGTTGATAGTACCTTTCTAAGTAAAATATCAGTTTTTAAAATGCGTTGTAAACAACACAATCTTTGATAAGAACCTTCGCCAAGGCCCTATCAAAGATTCCATCAAAGATTCCATTAGACAGAAGTGACATAGCAGTCACAGCACGAGCAAAGCTCTAAAGGACACTGGCCATGCATATTTTAGTCTGCGACTGGATAAAACTCATAAAGACGATTCCAGCATCTAGAGGATTATGATTAGTGACATCGTCAACGTGGTTATATAAAATACTTCTGTGAAAGCTATTATTAATAGGTGTTTCTTAAAAATCACGTCATATCAAAAGTTTAACTTTGATCCCTCAAATAGAATTTACGCACGTTCATTTTTTTAATATTCAAATCAAAAGTTTAACTTTGATCCCTCAAATAGAATTTGTGCACGTTCATTTTTTTAATGTTTGCAGCCGTATTATTTGACAATTTCCACATGATTTTGTTCAAACCTCATTTGCAATGAGAGGAAGAGTGTCTCACAAAAAAGCATGTTAGCGCATTATAGGCTGATGTAGTAAAGGAAAGAGTGATGATAAGTAACAATTCATAAAAGATACGGAAAAGCTGCAGGATGACTCTTCAAATCACATGCTATTTCTAATAATGACCAAGTCGTAAGCGGTAACGCGTAAAAGTCTATGGCCTAAAGATCTTATCATATAACCAACTAAACTTTT